ACGATAGTCCATGGTCCAGGGAAGATCCGATACATGCGGATCACGAATGTCGGCGGCAAGGTCCTGATCCTCCACCAGGACTTGCGGATCGGGATCTGGTTGGCCGGCGATAATGTCCCGCGACTGCCAGGCTTCATCTCGGTGGGATCCCGGCGCTACATGGAGTGGCAAAATCTGGCCCTCAAAGCGACCGTGGATCTCCGATCTGCGGACTCGGATCCGGATGTGGAAGATCCGCCATGGCCGGCAGTGGAGCGTCCCGAGTATGAGACTCCGCGTGGAATACTGCAACGACAAAGGCCGACGGTGATCAAGTGTTTGAAGGGCGGATCAAGTGGAGATCAAGAGGACTCTGACCATCCGCCAGTGGATAATCCGCCGTCGGACAATCCGCCGCCGGGTCGTCGACCGTTGGATGTAGCGTCTGTCGCAAGTGATGGGTCGAATCTGTCGTCTATCGCAGATGACGACTCCATGTCACATGTTGTAACGGTCGTGAGAGCGCAATCAGGATCCAGACGCATCAGGTATTACAAGAGCGGATATGTCCCCGGTCGAGGATCCAGCCGTGAAAACAGTATTGGCAGATGACGCTCTAAGTGAGGGAACTGGCGCGGATCAAGACCCACCAGTTCAGGAAGTCCAAGATCCGAGGGTGGCGACGTTGAAGGGTGATGGGCCGTACCCATCATCATTGATGGGTGTAGAATCTGGGACGAGCCATAGGTTGGGTGACCCGTTGGACCAGAAGGACGCCACGTTTATGTCATAGAAAAGGGACGAGGATCCGGCGGCTGTTTTGGAAGATCAACCGAACATATCGGATCTGGACCTTACTTGGGATTCGGATCAAGATTACGACGAATGTGTGTATTACCACGAAGGCAGCGATCTCTACGCGGAAGATGTCGACGGACAACTGGCGGTACTGCCCGAAGTCCCAGCGATTACGGAGGACGTGAAGATTGAAGATATCCAATTGTGTGGATCCGACGATCAGACGCCCGAAGAGATCGACCGACTCCGCCAGCGAATCTGGAAGTTTAGACATCTCCTGATCGGCAAAGGAAATGCACTCCCACCAACAGCCCGAGGGGTTGTGTGTGATATTAATGTGGGAGGAGCTCGGCCGATCGCGCGTAAGTGTCGAAAGCTGCCCGAGAGAAATTGGCAGAGTTGATCAAGGGTCTCCTGTCGGCCAAGA